AAGCATGGCAGAAGTTGTCCTTGAAAGGAAGTTGTTTATCTGTTCAACAAATACCTAACTAAAGATGTGTTGGGAGGAAGTGGAATTTAGTGAGTTGGCTCTTGAGGGGTAAGATTTGGTCTCGAGAAGCATTAATTCCTTGTGGTGCTGAGGAGTCTTAGAAAAGCCTTTTCCTGGGGCCCCTGACTAGCAATGAGGGGATGAGCACTTATACTCCAAGCAATCTACTACCATCTGTGAAGGATGCAATATCAATGATCTTTTTTTAAGTAAAAAAAAAAAACAACAAAATGAACCAAAATAAAATTAAGAGGACTTCTTCAAATGCTGACCATCATTTCTTGAGGCAGGAAAACTTTCCAAGCTTGTGCCTCCGAGCACTGAAGCTGTCCTTAATTCCAAGATGTATTAGGCTATCAAGAATATAACACTGAGGTAGTATTTTGCCACTTTTTAAAATTACTAAACTGGCTTTAATATTTTGTGACTGAATCTGGTGAACAAGGAGTTGCCACTGCTCCTTATCCAGCAATAAGTGTAACCAACTTCAAGAGCAGCATGCTTGGGCATTGGTGAATTTTGTTGGTACTTATTTGTCAAGTCAACCTTCTTACCCTCTGAGGACCAAGAGTCATCCTTGGAAAAGCCTGACAGGACTCTTGTCATGCTCCAAAAGGACAAACACAGAAAAGACTTAAAACATATACCAAGATGGGGAGTGTTATCTGTGAGTTGAAACCCATGTTTCAGGTGTTCAGTGGCTTTATGGAAGCATCTGACTCCTTGAAGCTGCTGAACACTAGCTGGTGGCCTTTGTCCACTGCTTCATTACATCTTACATGTCATCTCTCCTTCTACCATTACAGTCAAGTTACATTCTCCTTATATATCAAGATTATACCAACCTCTATGAGTGCTGTTGCCATGCTTGTTTTCAAAGTGCATGAAAAAAAAGTTTTTTTCTCTGTATGCATGTGGGGCCCTGATTTCACAGATTATTTATAAAGCTAAGGTAATGCTTTATTATTTATAAAGCTAAGTAATGCCTTATTCCTTGACTTAAGCTAAAATAAATTTGAAAGTAATATATGCTAGTGAAATGCAAAAAGGCAGCCTTCAAATACCCAAAGCTTCTGACATATACTTGGATTCTTCCCGTACTAAGCAATTAGGTTGATGAAATTAATAATACACAAGATGCTTAAGGATATATTGCATGAGGTGCTGCACTTAAAAATTGCATTTTAGTGAACACACAATAGTTACGAACTAAAATTGCATGTGTGCCATTCCTTCTGTTACAGTTTGACTTCCCAAGAATTTAACCATGAACGTATAATGTTATTCAAGTCATTTTTGTATAGAATATTTCACATTCATGTTCTGTTGTTGTTTAGCACAGGTCTTAATAATAAATTCTTTAACTGTTGTGCATTGCATTCTAAAAATCTTGTGTATATAATAAAACATTTCTTCTGACTGGACAGTCTCAGTTATTTTATAACTTTTTTTCCTTTTTTTTTTTCCCTCTAGTTTATTTTCTTTGTTGTCTAAAAAGCACAACAAAGTGCTGGAACAAGCCACACAGACCTTGAGAGGTTCCGTTGGTTCAAATGACTCCCCACTTCCTGATTATGTGAGTATCAAACTTACTGTTTTAGTAGGTGCTTCAAAACAGAAGTGGTACATCACTAAACCTGCAAAGATTTATCAACATGTGTGACAGCTAAGCAACTAGCAGCATCAAAATACAGGAACCTGTATGAATGATGTCATGTCTGAAATGTCTTTAAAAAACATCCCAGTGTTACACTTACAAATGGTAAAACAAAACCGCAACCTTTCATAGCTGAGAGACTGTACCATGTCAACTTGCAATTTTCAAGCCATTTGGATTTCAGGATATTTAAATCATACAGTTAAAAACGTTAGATTTAAGAACGGGGCTTTAGCATCCGCAGTATGTTAAAATGCCTGAGAGTGATTGAAAACAATTCCCAGTGGGCATTTGGGGGAGTACTGCAGTCATGGGGCAGATTAGTGTGTTCTGAGTACATGGATACACACAGTACTTGTCAGTTTTCTGAGCCAATACCCACAAGCAGGCAACAATTTTGTAATTGAATTGCATGGCTTGTTGGAAAATCTCTAGTTTCAGAACAAGAAGCAGACGTCTTCCAAGGACTTGAATAATATCTTTGTAGTACGAAAGTATCTTTGGTTTGCACTCATTTGAACTCTTACTGCAATAGTGTGTAAAAAAAAGAAAAAAAAAAAGGGCTGTTTTATCAGTTGAGGAGGAAAATCTAACAAGAGTTTTATTTTTAGTGTTATTACATGTTCCGGGACATGCCTACCCAAGATTTTGCATATCATATTGCTCTAGCATTTAGTATAAGAATAAAAAAAGATAATTTGGTATAATAGTTTAATGACTTCAATCTAATTTAACTAACCAGGTTTCTTAACCTGCACCTTTTAGCTGTTGTTGCTGACACGTAGCATAGAAATTAAAGGCACTCTATTATTCAGAGACTCGTGGGTTTATAAATCAAATGAATTGCAGGATTTCCCTATGTATTCCTGCTGCCTTACCATGCCCTAATTCATGTGAAGCTCCTTAGAACACCTCTGGTTTTGGGGCTTCTCGTTTCTCACCCAAAAGCTGCTGTCTGACCTTTTATTTTTGGAACTTGAAGCATTGCAGCAAGAACCCCCTCAAGTTAGTCTGTGGTTAAAGAGCAGAAGATCCCCCCTTTTTTTTGCCCAGTAAGGCAATGCACAAGCAGCATAAAACTCTTCCATCTGCATGGGCATGAACAACTGAAAGCCCCCAAGACTTCAGACACCTTGGAGAAGACTTGGTGTCCCTTTCCCATGGGTGTGCTTCTCAAGGAGCAGAGGCTCATAGTGTAAGGGCTTCCACAGCTGTGAGGACTGAAGTATTTTGGATGCTTTGTGAATTTTTGAATGTTGTGGTTGTTAAGGCTCTTAGGGCTGTATTTCTCAGAGGTGATTAAGCCTGGTGTCATACCAGGTTCCAGCCTGAGCAGTTACACAGCTACTCGTTCAGACTCCTCCTGTGGTCTCATGGCTCTTTATTGAGCTGTCTGGAGAGCTATGATGCTTCAGTTGGGTTCCAGGGCAAAGGGAGGCTGCTATGGTGGAGGTGATGTCTTTTGATAACTAAGATGCATTACGCCATATATCATATCATGAGATGATGCTGCAGAACATGCAGACTCACAGCCCAGAGGGGGTTGGAGTAGGTGCGTGGGGCTGGGTTTATGAGCAGATAGGCTCCATAAGCTGGAATTGATGCTAAGGGCTGTGTATTTTGAAACTAAGCTGCACTAACATCATGGGCTCTTGGTTAAATAACTGTCTAGCATCTTCAGATGCCTAGAGGAGAGAGCTGAAGTTTCTAACTCTTAACCTGTGTTAGGGTTATACAGGGTCCCCCTTGTATACAGGGGCTGGTATAGTATGTGTTCAGTTGTTAGGAGGAGGATATTGATTTTATTATGTTCTCTTCCCTAGACAGACAAATCACCATCCCCACTGTTCAGAGGAAAGAAGGCAGGGTAATACACACATGTGTTTGTGAAAGAGCACATATAAATAAGTATCTATGTGTGCATGCATTTATTTACAAAAATGTGAAGATCTGTATATGCATATTTTGGAGAACATGTAAGAATTTGGTCCTTGAAAACTATTTTGTAGGTTTTGTACTTCTTTTTAACTTGCGGGATGCAAGCTAAGCTGCAGTCAAGGAAAGACCTAGCATGCTCTCTGTACAAAGTTATCCCCTTACCAATGGAGACAGCTGAGAAATGCTGGAGGAGTACTAGGAAAGCACGCTGGAATACAGCCCAGAGACTTAGTTTACTGAATTTCTGCCCTTTTATTGTTGGTATAACATAGGGAGGGAGAGGAGGAGATCAGCTGCAAATATTGTAGGGGAGAATAAAATCACTGAAGTTTGTGGCCTGTATTCTGGAAGAAGGCTATATGCTTTTATGCATGGCTTTTTGCCTTTTTTTTTTTATTCCAAATTCCTAACGTTCCAGCTCAATCTGAGGCATAGTTAGTTGCCTAAATAGAAGTTGAGGCCAGATTTCATTACTTCAGAGTATACTGCTTCTGAAAGCCCATGTTTGTGTTGTCCTTAAGAATAGTGAAGAATTTAGGAACTGAGATAATTTAAGTGTCTGAAGTACTGCAGCTCGTTCTACCATTGATCCCTTTCTTTAGCTCCATGCTGGGATAGATTCCAAGATTGCCTGCTCTGCCCAGATTTATGTCTAGACAGGAGGAGGATTGCCGAGTAAGCTATTCTCTTCACAGGTTTCATTCAGACCAATCAAATATGTCTTTGAAAACTGTATTTCCCATGGATTTTTAATTTAATTTAATTTAGAAATCATTTTTTTTCTTACTGTGTTCTGTAAGTTCAGAAGTGAATTTGCGTGAACCAAGAGTCACAAGGGTTAAATCACACATAAAACTCCAGGTTGCTTAAGGTCTTGTGTTGAGGTCTTTCTACTAATTTGTGAGTACTAGACATCAAAAAACAAGTTAGGGTAAAAATACGTGTTCTTCTTAGGGCCAAGAAGGATTTGGAAAGGAAAAGGCAGCATCAGTGATCTTGAACTGAGTGCTCTCTGTTGTGAACATCATACGATAGAGAGGTTCTGTGATTTTGAGTGCAGTTACACAGTGTGCCCAGGCTGTGACAGTCACATACAAGCGCAACAAAGGAAGAGCAGACAAGATGCATGTCTCCAGCAGTAGTAGTGTTTCTAAAAAACTGAAGTTTCTGACCTACTATTCAGTCCCTAAGCTGATGATGGTTGATGGTGGTAAGCATATATACTGGGATCTTCCTTTACCATGTTTCCTACAGTCTTTTTTGCCTACTGCAGACTACCATCATGTCTTTGGTGTGCCAACAAAGCTTCTGATACCTTGCTGTGAACTAGGATGAGGAACTAACCCAGTTGGCTTTTATATTGTTCTTATTTAGGTTTTATGGGCTTTAAAAAAGAAAAGAGCAAATTGTTTTAATTTATTAGGGCTAGACCAATTTCCTGATCCTTTCCTGATAAACTGTTGTCAGTGGAGTGGGATGTGGGAGCAGGATGGAGAAGCCAGCAGGGAAGAGAGAAGAAACCCCATCTTCAAACCATTACCTCGGAGGCAGGATCCTTGGTTAGCCTCTTTCTTATGCTATTCCGTATACTAGATATTCCATAAGCTTTATTAGTAAGCATTATTTTCAGAGCAGCAATGACCTGTTTTGAAATACCACACTTGGGGCAAGTTGTCTTTGTCTGCAAGTATCTCCAGGCTTGAAGAAATGGGAAAAATCTAGTTAAGTTTTTTTATTACTTTACTGCATTCAGTGAAAGCACATTTTCCAAACTTTTAACAAACCTGAAAACTTACAATGAAATATTAAGAATTTAGCTTCTTTCAAATGAAGACAACTTGCTTAAGTGAACATATCAGTGGGGTTTTGGTTTTGGTTTTGGGGTTTGTTTTTTTTATTATTTTATTAGCACCTAATGTAATTTGTTAAATCATAGATACTGAACAGCGTAACTGGAGGCATGCTAACTTGCCTTGGAAAGCACCATTTCAAACCTATTGTTGGAACTGCCAACTACCCAAACAGTTGCTTTCTCAGGATTTCATGGTATTACGATTTTTGAGCAGTTCAGTGCTCATTATACTACAGCTGGTAATGAAGAATTCCCCTTAACTGTTTCTAGGAAGGGAAGGGATGGAGAAGAAGCGAGTAAATTTTGTATTTTGGAAAGCTTATGTCAGAGGTTCAGAATTCTCTTGATGATGTAAGAAAGAAATTTTTTCTTAATGCAAAAGTTGAGGAAAATAAGTATCAAATGTAGGAATAGTTCTAGATTCAAATAGTTTGGCATGCATCATCACTTGAGTCTGTATTTGGATACGCAGCTTTTGATTTGGTTTCTAAATTTATTTCAACATCATCTAATGCAACACAGGGACAAGGGATTTTATGTCTGTGGGAGCCCAAACTCTTGTTTACTGGTGGTGGGTGTGAAGGCTTAGTAGTTAAATGAAAACTCCTTGCAGCACACTCTGAGGATCACTCAACACCCTGGGTAGGGGTCACATTTCTGAGCACCCCATGGTGTTGTCTGCTGGGAGTCCTCTCTGCCATCCATGGGGGTTTCAGCAACAGCCTCCAGTTGCTTTAATGGAATAATATTCACAGAAAATAGTGAGGTAAGATGATCACTAGCCACAAAGGAAAACAATAATTCACTTCAATGTAACTTTATTTTTACCTTCTGAATTTTTGGCTGTAAGAAAATGCATTGTTCTATGCAGATGAAGCATAAATGTATTAGGAAAAATTCTAAGAATAGTCCCACTTACTGCCAATATCTTCAATTATTTCATATAAAGGACTGTCACTTAAACATCACTTTGATAGTGGAGGAATATTGTTGGAGATTAAAACAATGTAATACAGTGTTGGACTTCTTGTGTTGCATGTGTGCTCCTGTGAATATATGAAGAGCTGTCCTTTAAAATCTGTTGTTTCCCTGTTAGTCAAGGTATAAAAATAAACACATGTTGGCAATT